CAGGGTAAAACTTTATCTTGCAATCTTTATCTTGCAATTAAATCCTACCTGACCTAACCTCCAGGCGTAAGGCAGAAGAGGACCGTATTCGCAAGGAGGAGGAGAAGGCCAGGCGAGAGATCATTAAGCAGGAGTACCTGCAGAGGAAGCAGCAGGTGTTGATGGAGGAGCAGGGTCTGGTGAAGCCCCGCCCACGGATGAAGTCCCGGAGGAGCAGACCCAGATCCCTGCACCGAGAGGAGGCCAGCAGCCTCTCCAAAGGATGCGCCACACGTAAGAAGACCTTTCCTGAAGCGGTTACTTTCTGTCTGCTCAATGTTGTCTTTACATTGTCTGTTGTCAGCTCATAGCGGTGTTCATCTTCATTCTGAATGTGCTCATGATTGTTCAATCTAGTTAACAGTGAAGTTGTTAGATACACATCCTGCATCTCAGATGGATCGAAATCCTAAAAGATGCACCTTTCTAGAAATGCGACATTGGGAACATCAAATCCGTGTGAAAAGTCATGGAAAAAACAATAAGCTTGTTGCAAAAGCATGTTTCTATTAGATGTATACAGTAGCTTAGTAACATTTGGTTTGAATCCCATTTGAAATGTTACTATTTAATACATTAAAAAAAGATTTAATAATGTATATTACAAAGTGTTAATTTCATCATAACATTTAAAAGAATATCCTGATTTGTAAAACAGAGTAAAAGTAGTAATGTGGTTTTGCTAATCTCCGCCTGTGGGTACTCACTACATTCAAAAGCTATCACCATCACTGAGTTCACATGTGTACATCTGTCATCCTCTGAGTGTGTACGTGTGTGTTGTGCAGGACATTCTCTGAAGACGTCCTTGTTGATCAAAGCCCAGAGCTCAGCAGCAGGCTGCAGGGGAGGTGAACCTCTTCACTGCTCTGCATGACCAGATTTATATTTACACACACAGCCTATTAGTCTGTCTGCCAGCTCTTAGAGTCCTACTGTGAACCCGGAATAATGAGGACCCCAAAGTTTTATGTTAGAAATGTATTGTACGGGTCCCAAACACATAGACACTGCCAGATGCTAACTTGCATAGGCAATTTGCAACATTTGCATAAATTGGTTAATTGTTCATTAGCAATAATTAGCATTATAGCCTATGTGGACAATAGTGACAAAATGGCTTGGCATATTTGGGCAGTTTTTCAGTGGTTCTTGGGGTTATTGAGGATGCTGAATCAATTTATGACATTTTCAGGATCAAAAATGGCAGTTTAACCAGAAAGTGCCAATATTTGTACTCTCGTGGACTGATTTTGATACATTTTGGGTCGATTTGGAAGATATAGGGGACTCTGGATAATTTGGATTGGACAGATTGCCTATTTATTTGAAAAAACGTTCTGGTTAAAACTGACATATCGGGGATATAATGTAGTTCATTTTAATTTCAATGAATACAACTTATGCTAATTTTGCAAATTGCCCATCATATGCAAGTTAGCATCCAGCAGTTTCTATGTGCTGGGGACCCTACTATACATTGCTAACATAACACTTGGTGTACTTAACATTTCCAGGTCCACTATGCTGGCAACTAGACTACATTTAAAATCATTTGTTACAAACCCAAAATAAGTTATACTCATCCATTAATCTTTTTAGAAATGACTTAGTATGATCAATTTATGATTTTGTTGCCTTGCCTGTCATGCAGCTACTACCATTGTTTGAATCTCATGGTTTATTAACTTTTAGTGCTTCATTTTGTTCAGTAAAGTAACCAACATGTAATCATTCTGTCTCATTTTCAGCTGATCTGAGCTGCAGTCATCGAGGGTCGACGCTCTCTCTGGCGACGGAGGCCGACAGCGTTATCTCCGGAGGGGCGGAGTCACAGAGGTGAGACTTCCTGTCTTGTGTTTTAGATCAGAGGATATTATCTATTCCCATCTTGTTCTTTGACTGACCTTCACGTGTGTTCTCAGGGCTGGATCTGTGTGCTCCATGGAGTCGTTCCCCATGCTGAGCAGAGCGTCCAGCAGGAACATGGAGCGGGACTGGGAGAACGGCTCCATTGCCTCTTCAATCACTTCTATGGAGTACAATGGTGAGCAGAAACCAGCTTTGCCTGCTAAATTCCCTCAAAACTAAACTGAATTTTTCAAATACATAAACCCTATTGTTATTGTTAGGGTTGCAGTATACACGCATGGTTAGCGCTGTATATTGAATTGAACAAATCAAAAATGCAAACATTTTTTTAAACGTGGATAAAAAGTATTTCTGATGTTGTCACTTTCTGTAGAGAAATAGTTTAAACTTTTATGAACTGGCTTATTTACTTTTTTGCGAGAGTTAGATGAGATGATCGAGAACACATAGCCAGAAGTTTCTTAATTATCTCTAATTAATCCAAATAAAAAATGCCATGGAATACGCTCTTAGTGTGCTTATGTTCCCAAAAGGATTTCATTACACATTAGACTCTTTAGGGATTATGCATTTACCTTAATTATCAATTTTTGACATTTGTTAAAGGTCCTAAACTCTTCAAGGAGCCAAGTTCTAAGTCCAACAAGCCAATCATCAGCAACGCCATCGCTCACTGCTGCCTGGCTGGAAAAGTCAACGAGAGCCAGAAGAATGTTATCCTGGAGGTCAGTGTTATCACTTAAGAACTTTTTGAAACATCTATGTTGTTACTCTCATACTTATCTTTTCATATTTACTAACTATTCTTTTGTCAATGTCTCTGATCACAGGAGCTGGAAAAGTGCGAGTCCAATCACCTGATCGTCCTCTTCCGTGACGGCGGGTGCCAGTACCGAGGCATTTACTCATTCTCTCCGGAAACAGAAGAGATCCTGAAGTTCACCGGCACCGGGCCCCGCTCCATCGGCCGGAAGATGATCGACAAACTGTACAAATACAGCTCGGACCGCAAGCAGTTCAACGTCATCCCCGCCAAGTCAGTGTCGGCCACCGTGGACGCGCTCACCATCCACAACCACCTGTGGCAGGTCAAGAGACCGGGCAGCGCACGCAGAAAGTGACACACACCACTCTTGTTTTAGTTTCTATCTAACTAACGTTGGGCAGGACCCAATAATCTCCGAGGTGATTGACATGTGATCATGTGACAGGTCTTTAGACAGTTAAATCAGACTGTGGCAGCGTGAGAAAAAGAACCGCTGCCAACTGAATGTTTTCTTTTCGTCTCGTTTATTCTGCATGTCACACTTTTAATTTGTCCTACATTATTAGGCAGTATTAACGGCGGATTGATTATAATGTAGCAGTAAGGAGGAGATGGACCTTAAAGTTGAATACTAATGGATCTACTTACGGCACCAACTAGTGTACGATACCAAGTGCAACTACAACTTCAGCTTGGCAAAAAAATACCCTACTGCTGTGATTATTCCTGGAAACTATTATTCATCAGTCACTCCGACTGGTCAGTGCTTTTACGGAGAAGGAACTAACTTTTTTTATGTAAGTATGGAGTGGATGTTAGTGAGTGATCATGTCCAGTATTGTTTTATATTTAGTGTGTTTGGGAAGTGTGTGTATTTGTGTTTGAGCTGAATGCTCTGAATGTGTTCTCTTCAATTATGCTTTAATACTACAATGGAACTACGGAGCAAAGTACCAACATTTTATTTGTTTTTAGTTTCGAAGCTGCTGTTACAGAAATGGAAGAGAAATGATGTTTATACAGAAGGGGAAATTGTACTTGTATTACAAACACGAGCCCTTTTCAGACGGTGCATTATACTTTTCTGCAGTAGCCATGAGATGCAAGTGAGTTTTTCTAAATTGTTTTCTTTTCTGTGTTTATATCCTAAGAACACATGAAAGAGCTTTGTTAGGACGATCTTTCTCAGGTCCTTCTTTTATATCTGAAAACAGGTGAACATGTTTGAGACCACAAGAGACCGAAGTGTATCACAACTCTATGTTCCAGTAAGAGCAAAAGCATTCATGTTAATGTTTTAGTTTAAAATCTTCCCAGATTATTATCACAACAACAGACACTTCATTTTGACAACAACAAGGCAATCCCCCGTATTTTTACAGATACAAAAAAAGACATTTAGAAAAAATATGTTCGGAATTTTCTTTTTAACTAGCCAAACTTTTTTTTCTCCACCTGTTTTACAGATATCTTGAAACAAATGTTCACCTGTTCTTCAGTCATAAACACAGGAGAGAAAAACTATTTAGAATCATAAAATGTTTTCCCACTTGCCTCTCAGGGCTTCCATACTCTCAGTAGTGCATTATATTATATTAACTTCATTCTTACATTCCTCCTCCTGTACGACGTAGCCTCTGGCGCTCAACACGAGTAACTTCCCTCTAATGACTGACTGTCAGCGGCTGGTGTTATGTGGGGGGGAACTGCACAATACTTGATATTTGTTTGCTGCATTTTGTACACGTTTGAGTAGTATTTTTTGTACGTTACGTACAAGTTATGTTTACTAAAAAGCAGGCACTATTTTGAGGTTTATTCTGTTACAGGCTTTCAGAGATGTAATGAGTCTTATTTTAAGTGTGTTACACTGTATGTTTATTTATTTTGAAGAGATATAATAAAATGCTACTAGCTATGTTTTCTGATGAAGTGTGTGTGCTTGCTTAAGTCTGTGTGCATTATTATGTATATACAGTAGGTGCAATTGTTCCTTAAAGCTTTCTTACTTTGACTACCTGCCTTCCTGCTTCACTCTCCTCTTTCATATCCAATCTGTCTCTATTTCTTTACTGCTGCTTTATTCCTACTTTCTCTTCTTGGTGTGGTGGAGGAAAAGTAGTGTGTATAAAACGTTTGTAAGCCTGTTTAACTCTGGCCATTGTCACAATCATATTTTTTCAAGAAAAAGCACAGCTCTAACTTGGGTTCTCACACCCAAGTCAGATTCAAGGACCTAATACAGCATAGTTTAGGACACAGTTACAACAGAAGCTTTCATACAACAGTTGATTTCTCTAACACAACACAGCAAAACAATACATTGCAGCAGAGAAAAATATGTATTCACAATTTCAGTAACTCCAATTTATATCCTTGCAAATAAAATATATCTAAATCCAAGCCCTTTTTAAGGACCCATGTCTATTTTCAAAAATGTTTAAGGCCTTGGTTAGTTAACCTTACATTCACAAATGTTTTAGATTTCAAGGACCTTTGCGATTCATGGGAAATATCACCCCTAAAGTGACACATTTACATGTTACATGTACTGTACTGTTTAACGTGAAAGCCGCTCTCTGCAAGATGTCATGCTAATTACAAGAACATTTGCAAGGAAGTCATTAAATATACAGTATCTCCCAAAATGTTGACATCTTTCTTTAAAGCAGCAGTATGAGACATGGTGAGATATTTAGTTTTAAACATTCAAAGTTAACTAACACTATTAAGAAAAAGTAATGAAATCAATATGTCTATACAGTATGTATTGTGTTGCTGAGATATCTACTGAAATGAGCATGTTGAACAGCTAGCCTCGGCCCATCTTCTCTTGTAATAACACTCTTTCCTCTAGGGGCGATAATGAGCCACCGTTTGTTGATCAGACCTCAGTCCAACTCGAGATGTCTTACTTAGAGGAAGTCCAGCTGTCCTGAGGGCTTGTTAATAATCACATTAAGGTGGTTGAAGTTAGAAGCACACCTGAATTCGTCTGAAGCCCTTGGCAACAAAGTTCAACAATAAGGGAAAGGAGCAAAACATCCGCTCTGGTGGAGTGTAGAGAGGAGGTTTGGTGCTGAACTTGCAACTTGTCTTCTGGACCGGTAAGTTACTCGTAACGTTGGCTATTTAACAAACATATTTGTATTGCAACTAAACTGAAAAATATGAGTCTATAGACTCTGCACATGAAGATGATCAGATCTGGGGTAGGTGAAAAGCTGCCTCCAATTTGTTTAAAGCATGATGACCAGGTATTCATATATTGCCAGGCTTGGGCCCAGTTATTTTATGAGCTGGGTTAAAAAAAACAAAGACAGTATAAAGTAATTGTGTAAAGTAAACATCAAATTGGCGTTTCACCCAGAATTACTCCTGTGGGGAATGCCCACACCCACAGGGGTGTCAAACTCTTGAGTGGCCTGATCAGACCTCAGTTATATCCTGATTGCTGGAGATGTGACTCACCTGTTAGTCACTCAGCGTCTCCTACCTTCCTTTTTCACATCATCTCATCGTTTCAACCCTGTTTCTTTGCTTCTATCTCCTCTCCTTTCACCAATAATGGTGTTATTCAGTATATTTGACACAGAACCAAGCTTTACACGTGTGTAGGCTGGTAACCGTCTTGTAAACACGTCAAGATAACTCCTCCCAGAGCTAAAGTAAAGCTTCATTAAAGAGTATGTATTCACATCTCTCTATAAACGAAGGACTGGAATGAATGACTTGGCCTTGTCCACGGCTTAAATTATTAAAGATTTAATTTGTGGACACAAAAACAAAATCTGGTAATGATTTCATGAAATGAAGTATATCTTGTGCTCACAAATGTGAATAGTGTCCTTTCTTTCTCTACTGCCGGGCTCCGTTAGCAACTACTTCTATGATTCAGCTACGAATAAGCTTTAAAGGAAAGCTTTAATGCACATATTATATTTAAGTCACATAGTGTTGAGTGTTGTGTTTTATTTGATGTGATTGAAGGTGAATAGGTAAGTGACAGACCAGACACAATAAATGCATCTGAACAAAAAAGTAAAGAAAAGACAGATCAATCCTGGGCCAAAGTCTCTAAACTCTTTTTTTAGGGGAGCCACAACCCAAAAGAGCATGAGCAATATTAAACAACTCCAGACAGTGGTCAGTGAAACTCACACTAATCAAGCAGGTTTGATGGACCTGATTCAAATCTTCCTTTTTGTTTGTTAAGCTTGTCCCTGAATGCTCATCTGAGAGAGCTTTCACAGCAGGAGACGGTGAAATACCACCTGCTAACAGTAGGCACTCAAAACACGGTTGCAGACTGCAGTGCTGGAACATCGAAGCACAGATTGTCCTCTTTCAGACTGCATGGATGCAACCAGACCCCCGTGAAAAGCTGAAGGGGGTGTTGAAAGGGAGTATCAGTGGAGGTCAGCGTGTTCCTCAGAGTTGGGTGTCCTCTCTGGGCTCTGTTTCAGACTCGTGTCTCTCTTTCAGGCTGCTTCTGTGGAGAGGAGGCTCCTCTGGGACGTGAGCCAGAGGGTCCGAACGAATCAAATACCTGAGAGAGAACAAAGAGGACAGATAAAGATAGGAGAAACTGTGCATCAATTTGAAAGAGTCGCCATGTGGGATTCAGCTGCTTTCTGAATCCCCTTAAGAGCACAAGTCACATGAGCTGAAATTCATATTTTCCCTGTAATTGTCTATTATTTCCAAAATAATAGGCTGCAGAATTGTCAGGGACCGTTCTTTTGAAGAGGAATATTAAGAGCTGGAGTCAGGGACTTTTACATATAATTGAAGGTTTGTTGCATGCAAGCCCTTAACAAATGAGTTCACACAATGCTGATGAAAGGCTCGTTCTGAACTAGATGTCCACTAGGCTTTAAGAGGATGTCTGTGTGCATCATGCAGAATGTACATATAGCAAGCATGTGAGTGGGAATGCTCCAGTTTTGTTGGTGGCGTTTGCACCTCTTGCTAGTTTGCGATTACGGGGATGAATAACTCCAACAAAAGGGTGATGTTCATGGATGTATAAAGAGAACTGGATACAGCGTTGAAGGCGGGATTCCGTTCAATCCTGTAAAATTTGCTCAATGCGGCATGAAGCCAAAATGCTGTAATATCTCTCACAGGCTCCGCCCTCTACTGGACTCTATGGGTACTCCCATGTATCCTATTCATGCACGCATTCCTTCACTGAGACTTCCATAGCCGGCCCCTGGGCGGGCCTACCTGAATGCGCGCGCACCCATTGCATAAGAGGCGGCCTCGCCCCCTCACTGCTATCCCTTTCTCTTCAGCTAAGCAGCATAGAGTAACTGAGTGAAGAGAGACGGACAGAAAAGCAAGAAAGAGAAGATTTTCTTTAAAAACGAACAACTATGGACTCACCTGCGGAGCGCCCGTGTCCTTCGTGTCCGGGTTCTATCGAGGGTGACGATCCCCATACTCGGTGTATCGAGTGCCTGGGGTCTGACCACGCGGCGGCTAACCTGACTCGATCCAGCTACCTGCACAGAGTGGCGGTGTTCGAGGGGTGCTACGTTTCGCCGGTGGAGGACCCAGAGCTCAACGTGGTGGAGATGGAGGACCTCGAGCAGGGAGTGCCCTTCGTCTTCGCCATCCCAGCAGCCCGGACGGGTCCGGGCATCGGAGAGGGGGACGACGATGATGACACCTCGTCATCCGGGATTTCTGCTGACCGCCAGGAAGGCCATCAGCAGAGGTCGGCTCTTCAGGACTTCTCGGCGGTAATGGCTAGGGCAGCGGAGCGTGCAGGCTTGCCGCTTCCCCCACCAATACCTCCGAGGCCGGTGAGCCGCCTACGCCAGGGCTTCTACGGCCCGGGCCGTCCAGCACAGCCGGCCTTCGTTTCGCCCCCCCCCCTGCCGGACATCTGGCGGGTGTGTGGAGGCCACGTGGCGGCAGCCACTAAAAACGAAGGCTACGGTGGCTACTTGGGCAGGAATCCTCAAGGTGGAGGGCCACTCAGACACGGAGTGTCCCGGTGTGCCCCCGCTGGAGGAAAGCCTAGCGGCCCATCTGCTTCCGCAGGCAGCTGGGTGGGCAGGGGGGAGAAGGCCCCTTCCCCCGCTGCCGCGTGACCGAGAGATGCTTGATTATCTGGATAAGATATTCAGGCTCGGGGCGCAGATGGCGGCGGCGGCGGCGGCCAATAATCTGGGTGTGTTGGGAGTGTCGCTGATTTCCCCTCAGCAGGACGCTCCCGCCCCCCCCGTCTGAGCACGGGAGTGATTATTCGGACCGCTGCGGTATGCGGTAGCCATACCGTGGACCAGATTATTCATCTGGCCTCATAAACTGCTTTATGCCTTTCCACCGTTACGTCTCCTGGGGAGAGTGAGGCGGGAACGTCTGTCAGTCATCCTGGTAGCACTGGATCGCGTGGGGGCGCCGTGGTACGCAGAGATGACACAGATGAAGGTGGGCCAGCCCTGGGCGCTCCCCCAAGTTTGGGGGGTGATCTCCCAAGAGGCAGGTGCAATCGGGGCGTTACCCACTCTGGGCCACCCCCTCCAGGCTTGGCTCCCGAGGGGGACAGGCTGAGGCAGGATGGATTGTCTGATAGTGTTATTCAGTCTATCCAGGCAGCTAGAGCGGGATCCACCACAGCCTGTTACAGGCCAAAGTGGCTGGGATTCCAGCGGTGGTGTGAGGAGCGGGGAATAGAGCCCCTATCTTGTGAATTGGGATCTATTTTGTCGTACTTACAGTTGTTGGTGGACAGAGGGCTTGCTCATTCCACAGTGAAAGTGTATGCAGCAGCCATCTCGTCCTGCCATGAGGGATTTGGCGGCACGTCAGTTTTTGCCCAACCGCTAATGTTGCGGTTTTTGCGGGGGGTCAGCAGGCTGCGCCCAGTGGTGCGCGCCTCTGCCCCGCAGTGGGACCTGCCGCTGGTGCTCGAGGCTCTGGTCACATGACCATTTGAGCCTCTGGAGCTCTCTGCCCTAAAAGCACTGTCATGGAAGACAGCGTTGCTACTTGCCTTAACGTCGGCCAAAAGAGTGTCTGAGTTAACCGCTTTATCGGTGCACCCGATTTGTTTAAACATCCGGGGTGACCGAAGCGGGGCGACACTCAGACCGAACCCCTCCTTTGTGCCCAAGAGCCTAAGGAGTACGTTCAGGTCGAGGGCTATCCAGTTGGGGGGTTTTAATCTCCCCCCCATAAACGGACGCAAAGAGCTTTCAACTGATTGCAATGTATTCCCATCGGCGGCGGTATTTGACGCTCAGGGAAGCACCGCATCGGTCCATGTCTCAATCACGGGGTTTGTCAAGCAAAGCGGCTGGTTTAGTCCGAAACGATAGCTGAGGATTATGGGTAGTGTAGTGTTTTCTGCCATCCTAAACTCCGAAAAAATATTTGTTTCTCCGAATCAAAGGGGAAAAATACAAAAGCATTGTACACAATTTAAACCAATCAATGTTGTGTAATTAACAAGTATAATCTGGTGTTTTTTAGTTGATGAGTAGTGCAGATATCACTGTAAAATCAATCGACAGTAAGGAGTACTTACTTCCGGGTGTAAAATTCTCCGTTATCCAATGGGAATGGACGCTTACATTGCCTTTAACTGCCGCCGACATTGGACCGATCATGGGACCGATGCGGTGCTCCCCTGAGCGTTCGCACCGGAGTACTTTTCCCCGTACTTTTCCCGTTTAGTTCCGTTAGTACCCCTTATTTTGCGTTCACACCAAAAAGAGTACTTAGTGCCGGGAACTTTTACCCCCATTTTTAGTGCCTGCAAGAGAGGTGGTACTATCCTGGGGAGAAAAAAGTACCAATTTCTATTGGCTGGGCAAATTGCAAACCACGCCCCGTAAAACTCTGTTTTTTGAAGCCACCATTGTATTTGCTGGCATTAGCATTATTAGCATTAGCATTAGCCCCGCGCACCAACGGAGAGAGAATAACTTATGGCAACACAAAAAAAAACATGGGAGCGGTGGAGTGATGAGGAGGTGTCGGCGTTCTGGCGATTTACTCGGAAAGCTTCAACTGAAGCCAGTCCCCAACTCCGGGGACTTCCAGCCGGGAACTTCGGGTGGCAGTATACGCCGTGAAGTGGTTTGCGGCCTGCCAGTAAACCCAAAGCAGAAGAAGAAGAAGTGACGTCACCGGCTTCATTTGCGTAATCTTCCCTCAGGGAACTTATTCCGGTGTGAACGCGATCTGTACTAAGTGCCATGGGGGTACTAAGTGCCAGGCACTAAGTGCCGGCACTAAGTACAGCAAAGTACTTGGTGTGAAAGCGGCTATTGCAATCAGTTGAAAGCTCTTTGCGTCCGTTTATGAAGCTGAAGGAGACTCGGTGCGTCACAACTGCACGCCGAAGGACCCTGACCAAGCGTCGCTATTGGACGATCAGGGAGTGAGACTGTGTTGTTGAGACAAGAAAAGCCTTATTTTGCAATGTTAACGAAAGGGAAAAATAATGTGTGTATTAAAGGTGGGGTATGTAATTTATTTCAGAAACACTTTTTGTTATATTCCATGGAATGCTCTTAACATCCCGATAGCAATGAATATATTAAATGCTTTGACAATAAATACATTAAAAAAAATTCATCTGTGGAAGCCGTAGCGCTGTAAAAAGCACGACCGGCCCGGCTAAAATAATTGGATGGCCTACCTGCCTGTCAGCCTTCCATCTGTGCACAAACTTATCTCGTGCCCCCATTGGTCATGTGCTCGTTCGTGTGTGTTGGAGGAGGGGCTCTGTAAGGAAGTCTGAAGGAAGAGGCAGATTTTTTCCGGTTGTGTATTTTCAAATTCTAGCGCACTCGAGCTGGTTTCTCCAAAATGACATACCCCACCTTTAAATCTTTCATTCGGATCCACCCATGGCCAAATCTATACCTTTCCACCAAAGTTTCGCGCGAGACTGCACTAACAAACAAACAACACCAAACCGAAAACATTCTTGACAGAGACTCTAATTTGTCAAATGAAGTTAAAGTGACAAAGTAATATTAATTTTTTGACATCACTATTGATTTTCTTCAAATTCACCTTGAAAAAACAGCTCTGCTTTGATTGTCACTTGGAATAATTTCTGACAAGATTCACACAGTATAATACATTTGCAAGAACACCCACAAATAAGACAGCTTAGAGAAAGCTGAGAAATAAACAGAAGCAGTGGTGACTCAAATTTCCCCAGATTACCGTTCTTGATAAACAACACACTCGCCCACGCACACAACAGGAGCGGCACAAAAGAGAAACGCTTACACAACGTCATTGAGCTCCAGCCTGGTGTCAGGAGAGGGGTTGATCAGGACGTAAGACAGGGTGTTCTGGTGATCGTTCTGCTCATCTGAAACAGGAACATCTCCTCAATCAGAAAACTGGATTAGTTGGGTTTCTATTATGCAGTTATGATATCATTTCTAATTGCTAAAGGACTGTGATTTATGTCTTTACCTTGTAGGTATCCCAGGTTGACTCTGTTCATGACGTCGCTGGCTGTCAGGTTAGTGAGGTCTTCTGCACAGTAGAAACAGACTTTTTAACCTGTTAAGCCCTGAGCCTGTTTTTCAGGTCTCAGGCTCGAAAATGACATTCCCAGAACAAATGACCATATCTTCCCTTCTAAAAGGGTTAAATTAATAATCTTTTTTCTCAAAGTAATGATAAACCTGTGAGTTGGATGTAGAAAAGTCAGAATCAATATAGATGTTTTTTATTTTAAAGAAAATTCAGATTTTACATAGTAAAAAACTGTAAATTATAGTGTCCGTCCAAAAATTCTTTTTTACTTATAGTGAAAACTACCCTTGGATGATGGTAAGGTAGACTAAAAGCTTTAGGAATCCAAAGTACAACATATAATAAGTACCCTGTATCAAGATTGATGCAAAACAAGTGAAATTTGACCTTTTTAGAGAGATTTAGCAAAAAGAAACCACTTCTGGGGTCATTTGGGTGGATTTTCCATATCTCTGGCCCCCCTTGGTCGATTTTGATGGTTGACACCTCTTTCTGACCGTTATAGCCAATAGAATCGAAGGGGGAGTCCCCCACACACACTCATTGTGAAGAGAAAAGGTGGGGGCTTCGCGCATGTAATTTTGCATCAGAGTGAACCTATCTCTAGCTTTGACATCTGGAAACGGAAAAGCAGTTTTAATGCTTATGGATTATGGAAATCATTTCAAAGGGACACAGACACATTGGATTAACCTATGGATTAACTTCAGCAGCGTTTTTATCGTTTTAATGCCATTGAAAGACCACTTTGGAGAGACTACAGAGCCAAGGTAAAAATGTTAGCATTTTTAGCTACCTAGCGTCACCTGTTTTGATGTCCGTTTTTGCTTATAACGTCGCCATTTCTTATAATTCAGTGATAATGTGGGTACCCATCGATTCTGTGTCACCTCACGATGTGAAACGATGTCATGGATGTAGAGAAGAGATAAATAATAAGGTTTTGTGAGTGATTTTCGGTGCAGTAAGGTGTAATTCAGAGGCTCAGTGTTAGCATTGTGGGTTTTCTTTTAAAAAATAAATAAAAATGATCAGTTAGATGAGTTTCTTCCCGTTACATGGATATAAAACATTCATAGTTTATTAAATGAACATGCCCTCAGACACTGTTTCCTGCAAGATGTTGCGGCAGTGCCCCGGTACCGGGGTCTCTCGGGCTTAACAGGTTAAGGTTCTACTCACGGTTGTTTTAGGGGTTTTTCTTTGGGAATATATATTTGTGGTTTTGGCTGATTTTGGGGCAGGATAAGGAAAGATTGACTGAAAAACTGAGCAAAACTGAAAAAATAATGGGTAAAATTAAGATTCAAAATGAACGGCTATTACACATCTTTAGGGATTTGAGAGGATTCCTTCGAGACTGGTATGTAATGTCTATTTTATTTACAGAATCCATTGTATGATGTGGTTTTACGTAAATGCGTGAATTAACGTTGGTGGCTAAGACAAAGTCAACTTTGTTTCATCATTTCATTTTCATAGTTATTTTGTTAAATAACTACAAATAAACTTAACACAAAAGGTAAGGACATTTGTGTTAGGTAGATTATTTCTTTGTTGTAACAATGCTTCTTGGCAATACATCTTATACCGTTGGAAAGCCTGTATATTTACCTTTCAAATGGTGCGACATTTGTGAGGAACATGCATTTGTGGGATGAGCAGCAGAGTATGTTGGTTGCCCATGAAAAATGTGGCAATTCTCCTCTGCAATGGTATAATAAAGAAGTTGCGTCTAAACAAATGTCCAGATAGCCATATTAAGATCTTTATGACAAGAGGGGGTGGTGCTCATTGAAAAAACTGCCGCTTTTGTCCACAGGGGCCGCTAAAATCAATACAAAGGTTCCATTCTAGCTGCTTAAATCAGAAGTATTACACTTTTTGGAAAATGAAACCTCGCTCTGACCAGTTGCCTCATGACCTTCCTCACCATATCCTGAGGTGGGGAGGCCCAGATGCCTCATGCGGTTGCGGACCAGCTCGGAGAGCTCCTCCCTCTCTGAGCGGCGGTACAGGTTGAGGCGCTGCTGGGCGATGCGCTGGCCGTGGTCCCGGCTCGAGTCCCGGCTGGACCCCTGCCACCTCACGCTCTTCTTACTCAGACGCCGGGCCCACTGCATGCTCTTCTTCCTCAGCAGGGGGTGATCTGACTGGTCGTTGCTGCGAGACTCCTCCCCTTTCTCCTTGGTGTCCTCACATTCGTCCACACTGACTGACACCTGAGACTGAGGCGGAGACACAGGAAGTAACCTTTACATCACCTTCAAGTGTGTTTACGATAATAATACTTCATTAGTTACTTCAGTAACATGTTTTATATGAATGAAAATACTCCATCGCACAATCTGCTCCACAAATCAGAATTGCTCCAAAATTAAATGAGTTCCTCTTTGGAAAATGGTCACCTTTCTCAAAGTCCATGATGATGTCTTAAAATATCTTGTTGTGTCAGTATATTTTTGTTGTCATGATATTAAACCTATTTTAAAGGCTTTACACAAATGTGTCTACCATTTTTGCATGAAAAATTATTTAAAAAATGTATCTATTATCAAGCTTTCCACTATCTATGGACTACTTTATAAGTTGTCATATAATTGCAGCTCAAAGCTTCCTTTGCAGAGTTAGCAAAGTGTTATTGCATCAAAGCTGGATGTTTAGCTTGTTACGACTTACATCATCATCTCAGGATCTCACCTCAGAAGTTGGGAAAATGTGGGATTCTGTCCGATAGATCCCAATAGGAATTTCGGCACTCGAGGAGCAGAGTTTCTGGAACAGTCTGCCATAAGTACTGATCCACAGATCTTCCTCTGTTACCTTCATCTGGAAGGAGGAACACAGGGGTAAACTATGGCACTGTGTTAGATTATTAATTCTTTCTTAGAGATGTTTTTTATTTGATTAAACTCACAGCACAGAGGTATCCGGATCCTGGAGTGGTGTCCAGCCCCAGCAGCAGCCTTGCAATAAGGATCATGTAGTCCTTCACAAAGGACTGGAATCACAGAGAACATTTGACATTAACAGACAAAACAAAACATTTTGGTTTTCTACCAATGACTGAACACAAGAGGGCACTTTTGCTTCATTCTGCTTTGCTTCTCAGTTTCTTCAGGTAGTACTGCTGCTGTAGGATTTCATTTCTTTACCTGGCATTGAAAGTGTTATTGGAGGAGGTTTGCTGTAGGTGTGTACCGACCTGATACAGCAGGGTGTCCAGCATGCTGATACTGAACACTCGCCCTGCAGCGAAGGGTAGGCGAAACATGAAGGCCAAGTTGGAGCCTTTATCACGCTCTTTCTGTGTGGGAGAGCCAAGACACATTGAAAACAGCAATGATTTTAAAGGTCTGTCACTTTTCTGATAGAAAGTCAGAGGGAAGTGGCAAACATAAAAAACAGTGGTACAAAAAGAAAAACACTCTCTTCTGCAACTCCTTTCACCATGTTGTGTGTTACCTTCTCAAGTTTGGACAGGGCCAGTGAGTAGCAGTCCTTTGCCCTGAACTGCATGAATCTCATGTTGGAGGGATGAGTTAGCTCTGTGATGATGCTCACACTGGGAAACAACCTGGAGAAAGAGAGAAGGGTGTTCATTTACAAAAAAACGATGTATTAAACGTATCTTACTACAGCCACAGCATTCTGGTTATGGCCAAAGTCACAACACCTGGGCTTTATATGTATATATTGTTATTGTTGCATCTTACTTGCACTATTAGGTCACATTCACACCTAATAGTCCGCTTCTTTGGTGCGCACCAGACACGAGTTTGTTACATTGTTTAATTTTCTAGAAGGTTCAGTTTCCGTTCACATAAAAACTCAAAAGGACTATACACTTTAACACTAGAACCGCCAGAGGTCGCTTTACCAATTCATTAAACTTCAGTAAGGCTGACGTCTGTGCCGAAGTTTCTTTGAAAGTGTTTAACTGGATGGATAGCTAGCTCGGTGATAGTGAGACCTTCACAGCGACACAGAGGATGAAGACTTCAGTGGATAAATGCGACTTATACACCGAAGCAACTTATATGTTTTTTTTCTCTTAACGACACGTTTTTTGACAAGAGAGACTTATACTCAGGTGCGACTTGTAGTCCGGAAAATACGGTAATGTTATCTTGGCAATTTCATAGTTATTCTGCAATTCTGTAATATGTGTATATACTATAACAGGGACGTGAGCAGTGATGTGGTGATGTGACGTGAGCAGTGATGTGGTGATGTGACGTGAGCAGTGATGTGGTGATGTGACGTGAGCAGCGATGTGGTGATGTGACGTGAGCAGCGATGTGGTGATGTGACGTGAGCAGCGATGTGGTGATGTGACGTGAGCAGTGACGTGGTGATGAGCAGTGACGTGGTGATGTGACGTGAGCAGTGACGTGGTGATGAGCAGTGACGTGGTGATGTGACGTGCAACGTGGATGTTAAAGGACATTGAGTGTTTGTTGTCCTCAGAATAAATGCCAGATGACATAGGAGATGCTTCGCTGTCAATTCTTCCACATACTCTATTGATAACGAGTCACCTGCAGTTGTAACCCGTTAACACATTGATGCTCTCTTGTTTTTTGATAGATTTTACACAATTAAAGTGCAGAAGAGTGCAGCTTTTGGTTTTGGTTTATTTTATAAAAGGTCGTTTTTATTTTCATTTTTCATTCTTTGTAATGTTCCTCATGTAAACAGTATATAATCATATATTACTTTTTCAAAACGTTTAAAAAGTTGTTTCAATTCAAATGTAAACTTGAGTGGCTGTAGATCTGTCATTGTCATCAACAGTTTGTGTTTGTTACACTGCTTAACTAATGATAAGATAATGGTGAAGAAATGATGAGTTAATGGGTATCTACTGTTTTTGATGCATTACTTTACTTTGGGGGACACAAACTGCTTAAGGAACGTAAGGTAATCATTAGGTAATGGGTAACTACTCTTTTTGATGCATTACTTTACTTTGGGGGACACAAACTGCTTAAGGAACGTAAGGTAATCATTAGGTAATGGGTAACTACTCTTTTTGTATGCGTTACTTGAGTTTACCATACCCAAACTGCCTAAGTAATGGTAAGGTAAGTAATGATGACTTAAGTAGTAACACGTGAGTCGGATCCCCCTCTACCAGTCGATCCAGTGTGGGACCCAAGCCAGCCGAAGATGGCCGGTTTAAAAGTGCCCTGCTGCAGCGGACCATTGCTTCAATCAAAGTCACCCAGGAACGACTCATTAAGTAACCATTAGCTATCTAGTCGTTCCTTATTCACTACTTAGTAACTAAGCACATTTTGTGTCCCTTATTGTAAAGTGTTACCACCTGTGTTCCCCTGATCCGAACACCAACGCACTAGTCCACCGCGCCACAGCCTCCCTGTTACACTTTTCATTTCCAAGACAGTATTCTTATTTCCAAAATGTATGCATACATGTATGACAACAAAGCCTCTTAATATTTGAATAATTTACCAATATTTACCTAACTTTGATTTTCAAATTGCTCTTAAGAAATGTCTTAAGAGAAATCTACGTCAGATTCATGATGTGTTCTTAATGATTAGTAGCCAAATCGACACATTTGACCGAAAAGTATTTGGGTACTATTTAAAAGAAATCAAATTTTTATGCAGAAATATAGTTTTTTAGCCTCATAATTATGTAAGGTATGTATTCCTGTTTCTTTCTGTTTAAACCCTATTCAACCTAATACTTTTAACTGACTCTAAATATCATGCAATTCAATCTTTAAATGGCCATCACATTAGTAATACATATACAAGATTCATACAATGATGTTTTTCTGTTTCTTCTAACTGTTTCGCTGATAACACCTAAACCTTTTATTTTGAAATCATTTTAGCAATACTTCTGTCGTCCAAACATGATTTATACAAGTTTAAGAACAAAGTGATAATATACCATGCCATTCATAATATATGATAAATTATAATTGTGATAAAATCTGCAGAATTACCTGAACATGGTCTGCACATTGACAATAGTTTTGGCATCAGCCATGTAGTCTTCTTCGGCACTCATTGTACTCTCTTTATCCACAACCACCAAATTATCAGCGTAGATAATTCCACACTGCAGCAGGCTGTCCAGACTGAAACACACACACACACACACACACACACACACACACACACACACACACACACACACACACACACACACACACACACACACACACACACACACACACACACACACACACACACACACACACACACACACACACACACACACACACACACACACACACACACACACACACACACACACACACACACACACACACACACACACACACACAACAATAAGTATCGCATCAGGACATCAATTTTCCTGGAGCATGCTGCACATCCAATTAAATCTCAGATGAGTACATAATCTTCTTCAACATGTTGAATGAATGTTATATATAAAAGCAATTTGAAATGAAATGCAGAAGCTCATATGACAGTCTTACTTGTCGATGGTCCCAGCCATGTAGTAGACCATAGGAAAACAGCAGATGGCCTCCAGGAAGTGATTATCCGGCCTGCAGGAAATAAATAACATATGATAGATTTATTTATAAATAGATTCATTTTATAAGGAGTGATGAGCAGTTCTTTATTACTAGTCGCTTGGACTACTGCAATTCTCTTTTACTGGTCTCCCTGAAAATAATTGCAATTAATTCAGAACGCTGCGGCCAGGAAACAAACACAAAAAAGGGATCACATTTCCCCTGTGCCGGCATCACTGCACTTCAGAATGAATTTGAAAGTGCTTTTAATGATTTACAAGGCTTTACATAACCTTGTAACCACTACATACATCAGTGACTGACTTTCATTTTATAACAATGACACTCACATCCTCCAAAGCCTTTCTTTTCGAAGTATTTCACCAGAAATCTGGATCCCATTGGATCTGAGATGAGGAAACTCCATTGGAATTTGTAAAAGTGAATTAAAGACCATCTTTTTATTTTTAATACATAATTTATTCATGTTTATTGATGATGTACAAAGACTAAATTGACTTTTTTCTAGTCTTACCGCTTACAAGAGAAAGCCTTAAACATGATTAAGAAAAGATTTGTAATGAGTATATACTTGAGGCTTTCTGCGTTTCTTTTAATCCCTATGCTATTTGTTGCATTTCTTTTTAAACTTGAAATCATGTACAGTAAAATAAGGAAAAGACACAATTGTGACATCTTGAAAATAAATATTATTTATATACTTTTTTAGCTTCATGGGCTAGTCCAATGTAAGGCTTATTATCAAATGCTTCCATGGTCATGCTCCTTCACTGCTGAAGGAATTTGTTGAAAGACATCAGAAGGCAAAACACACAATAACCCTCAACAAATGATTACTGTCAAAAACCTTATTTGGAACAAAATGATGGAATTGACTACCAACTAAATTCAAAATACAATGCAATTGTAATGTTTTAAACAGAAGTATTAAGTCATGGCTAAAAGAGACACACTACCACCATAGATCCATATTTTATTTTTTAAAGCCTGCTGAAGACAGGTGTTGTTCTTTCTTTTTTGCTACAAATATTACCCACAGTGCATCTGGTCCTTGTGTGCTATGTTTCTGTGATGTCAGACTTATATAAAAATAAACAAACACTTGTGTAAAAATGATGAAATAGGTGCTGTTTTACTTTTGGTGTTGTATACATGTTACTAGAATAGAAGTTACGAAACAAGATACTGCAAAATATTTGGCATGGAAACAGAAATAAACAATGTTAATGCACCAAAAGCCAAACAAATGCAAGAATTACTTGTGAATTTTGATCATCAAGTAAATCAGTAGAGCAGATTTAGCAAACTGATCTGCTGCTCAACTTCATTTTGGTGTGTGTGTTTACGCTAAAGCGATGATCCGTCTGGTGCTGAGCACACTCAGAGAGATTTAGTTGCTTTATTACTTCCTGCCCCCCCCCCCCCGACACACAGAACAACTCTTCATGCATCTGTCGAGACCCAAGGCTGTCGTAAGCGCTCGAATAGAAAGTGTGTGGGTGTTTGTATTTGTGCGACACCGATGGAAGGGGGGAGGGAGAGCTGCATGTGTGGGGGGCAGAGAGTTTATTGTTATTTGTGTGTTTCTATGAGAGTCCTGAGAGCTCGCATGTGGGGGCTCAAAAGGGACACATCAGGGTTGCCGATGAAAGCCCGCTCGGTGTTCTCCAAAGAAATATTTTACTTCATCTTTTTATTTATTTTTTTCTCCGCTTGTAGCAATATGTAGAATTGCAGTTCAAGGCAATGCAAGTTGCTATGGTTACTGTCTGGAGAGTGCAGCGTTTTATTTTTCTTTGTCCTTCAAAAACACAAGTTACTGTGAGTAGCAGCAGTAACCTCACATCAGGGCTAACAATGGACCTCCACAGTCTTGTGCCACACCGACGGAAGCTTTCAGAGAAATGATGTTTCCCTGAGTGAAAGGTTGAGAGAAAAGATTGTGTGTGTTTGTGTGTGTGTGCCATTGATTGAAGGATTGGTAGATCGTGTTTATCCATTTTCAGACAAAGAAACACAAGTCTATAAAGGATACAATGTTAAAGCTAAAACACTATAGTCCCAAGATCTTATAAGTAACAACAATACATTAAACTGAACTGGAGGAGGCATGTGGCGCAGTGGATAGAGCCTTGGTGTTGGGATCAGGGGGTTCAAACCCTACTGCAGTCAGCATGTTGTTGTGTCCCTGAGACACTTCACCCTAAATTGCTCCTGTGGGGATTGGCCACAGTATTGAGTATGTAAGTCGCTTTGGATAAAAGCGTCTAACAAGTGACATGTAATAATGTAATAACTAAAACAAATCTTGAAATTGAAAATCACGTCACCAAAATTAAAAATATTACGAAATATAAAAAATCATATTATTTCAAATGTTACTTCAAATCTTTTACTGTTCCAAATAAAAGCCATAATCTGATTGTATAAACTTCAATATTCCCTTAAGGCACTTTACATTGGTGGACACTTGCCCTATTATATTGAGAAGTGTGTGTTTGTTTTCCTGTACTCATTGGAACAAAGTTTTGAAAAACAACCCATTATGTGAGGACATTTATGGGTATGAGGACCTTTAAAATGAATAAAAAATTGTATGTCTGTGTGCGTGTGTGTGTGTGTGTGTGTGTGTGTGCGTGCGTGCGTGCGTGCGTGTGTGTGTGAAGGTGAACTCACGGATTATCCAGCAGCAGGACAATGGGGTTGAGTTCTTTCCTGGGTCTGTAATAAGCTCTGAGAGGAACGATAAAGTTATAAAGACCGTTCCCTGCTGTTTCAGCAGACACAATGATGAGCTTGTTTTTAAAACCATAAGCCTTAGCATCCTCAAAGCTGTTGTGCCTGCAACCCTGCATAAGAAACAAACAAAAAAACAGGTATTTTAGGTTTGCGTTTCAGTCGTGAAGGAGAAGGGAGAGGAGGATAGGAAATGATGGAGGCAGTAAGTAATTGAGTGACTAAGTTGGAGCAGCGACTGCCCACCTGGTCCAGTCGTAGGCAGCAGAACGGAGCTTTCTCTGCCAACAGATGGCACAAGGTGGGCGAGCTCCCGATGTACGGAGAGTTGGGGGGATAACCTTTCACGTACCTGCAAACAAATCCAAAAAGCTTGAATGACACATTGCATGGAAACAGACTGTGTTTAAAAAAGGATTTCCAGTACCAAAAGAAAAAGCTGGTTTCCTAGAATTCACCTAGTCATTTATATGACCTTTAGAAATAAGATGTCAGTGCACTCAGGTTTTATTGCATGCTGGGCAAACTATTCAAAGAAAGATACCAGGTAATGTCTCCTTTGTAAAGATAGTCTGAGAGGTTGCATAATGGGAAAACACAACAAGATTAATTTAGATATTGATTCATTTGATTTGAATTTTGCAGGTTTAGCATATATTAAATGATTGTTGTTTCAATTATTTTAGGCTCTATCAGAAATGGGACAGCATTAATTAATTGATGTGTAGAACTATAAACAAGTGAAACTTATTTACATAAACTAAAAAAGCAAAAGTATGATTACTTGTGCAGAAATATGTGCCCCTAGGTTACACTATTTTATGTTAAAATAATACATATTGATAACACATTTTTTACTCAAACTTGTATAAACAGATCTTACTGTATGTTGTTTGTAAAATGTTAAACTGCTATGTAACAAATAATTACAGCTATTGCACACATGAAGGGTAGATAAAGCTCAGTATGTCCCTAGTAAGCAGGATTATATAAGATGTACAGGTAACAACAACAAGCAAGTTACAAGCACATCCTATTTCTACTTAACTTCTAAACTACTCGTTCGTTTTCATCACTGGAAGAAAATGACTTAAAGGTTATTAATAATAAAATAACTGTTACTGTAAGTAATCAGAAGAAACTACGTACAAATGTAATTTTCAACACAAGAAATCTAACTGCAACGTCAGGTAACTAGTCTTTCTGCATTCAAAGTCGATGTTATTATCTAATAGCCTGCATTATCTGCTCCTTGTCATTTTGTTTTTAAGGTTTGATTATTAATGTTCAAACAGAAACCTTACTCAGTAGATTTCTCATCTGTGAAGACAGAGTCATCTTCTGATTGGTCGCTGAGAAGGTCACATGGCAGAATGGAGGAGGAGTCGGCGATCTCCTGAACTGGAGCGATGCTCGGCCGGCGACCCCCTGCTCCGTTTACTGAGGGCGGGACCAGTTGACCCCCATCAGGGGGACTCGTGTTGTGAAGATCCATGGCAACAGTGCCTGTAAATGATATTCTCTCCAGCTTTATATCACACATAAGGAACAACTCATCCCTCAGTGAATGCCTGAGGGGACACAGCAGAGCTCACTGTGCCAGATGACAAAAAGGCACACAAAGAGCTCACAGAGACACAGAATGATACAAAGATGCTCAAAATGACCACAAAGAGACCCAAAATGGTCCAAAAATGGCTACAAACGATAGAAATAGCTGCAAAGTCACTACAAAAAGACCCACCCACTCACATATTGAGACATAAAATGACATTAAAGACACACAAAACAATTGCAAAAAGATCACAAACAATTACAAAGTGACATTCATCGACTATAAGAATATACAAAATGAATACAGAAACCATTTTCTTGACAAAGATACAACAAGACATACAGTACAGTAACTTTAAAGAGACATAACATCACTTCATAGAGACGCAGGAAAACTCAAAACAGTTGAAGACAATTGCAAAATGACCAACTACAAGGAGACACAAAATAACTACAAAAAAAACAAAACAATTACAAATTACAAATTACAATTAAACAAAGTCAGACACATACTGTACCAAAAAGACACAAATACATGATCAGAAAACTACAAAGAGATGCACAATAACTTCTAAGTCTGTGTATATTTCTCCAGTTTAGGTGATGTGGGGTCTTTTGTCCCGTAATGCTCCTGTGCCTCTCACCCATGCTGGCGATGATGCTGTGCACAGGAAGCTGCGAGGGTCCGTCGTACAGCCCCCCCGCTGGGCGGCCCTTCCTCTGCTCCTGGTTGAAGATGAAGGCGGAGTTCTCCTCCTTGGTGATGTTGATGTAGTAGCAGGTGTCGGTGGTGGCCATGATGTGGCGGGGGCCGGGGTTCAGCAGGATGCTCTTGTTGTCGTCCTTCTTTATCCCGATCAGACACACGCCGTACCTGCACCACACACACTCGCTGTTAGCATGATATACTTTAGGATAATATACGGATGCACCGATACCACACATTTTCAGACCAAGTACAAGTACATGTGAGTACTTGCCAATACCGAGTACCGATATGAGTACTTAATAATACCATTAAAGGTTGACTTTTCACCCCTCCTCTTCACAATTTAGAAGAGCTTATTACACGGCTTGGTTGAATACTCAATTAGCTCGAAAGCGAATTGAGTATTATTTATTGTTAATAATTCAAATGATATTTGCCTGGAGATCTGAAAATAAGACTCAAGGGAGTCACTGTGGGCAAAGGAAGTAAATAAGAAGTAAAAATAAGTCTCAAAATTCAAACTATTTTTTCAAACGACACAAGAAAGGGTTTTCTTGTTATGAAAGAGTTAAATTCAAATGTTGCAGCACTGAGATGAATATATCACGCTTTAGACAAATAACTCACATATTCATACAAAAGAATAATCTGACAGCCATGTAACTGTCTCTGTACATTTTCAACTGTTCAGCATCTGAAGAAGACGCTTTAGCTTACATGTCAACTCACTTCTTGTGAGCATGAAAGGAGGCGTATGTAAAGCTTTTGCCATTATACTCTCCAAAGAACTTGCTGTCACACACTCGGATGTGGTACACCTCGTTTCCAGAGCAACAACCGTACATCCTCTGCCACTGCTCCGGAGACTGCTGTCCCTCTCTGCATTGACACAGGGAAAACACATACACACATACAACAGATCAATGAGCCCAGTAGTTTTTAAAGGGTTAAACCAATTTGACACATATTCATGAAGTCATGCTAAATCATTATCCTACTCCAAAAACGTTCCACATCCCCCAAGACCCTGTGGGTTTTCTAACACCTTCCTGAGTCTCCGGGGTTCTCTGACTCGGCATGTCTGTAATAATGTTGTTGTAATGACTTCTGCTAATAACCGTAATGGCTCAAGTGCTTTTATTGAGTCTGATGGGCTGCGAGAGATGCTCAGAACAACCCTGAGGTAGGAGTTTATGTACTTGTTTCTAAGCAGTAATTTATATTAACATAAGAAGACTTATCCAACGTGTGGCACACTCACTGGTTTCCCTACTGTAACACAAGGTAAGAGACAAAAAAAAGCCTGCTCATTATTATCAATATCTCCTAGACTCTTTTAAATGTATTGACCATGAACCTCTTTGATGACCCTAATTTAATTTCATGTACTCCAGGATGTCCACACATGCAATGCAAACTCAAAACAGCATAGTATCTTAAACATGTTGTAAAGCTAAGTAATGACCTTTCCATTTAATAATATCGTATTGTTGGTCTTTTGGTGATTCCCACACCTTAACACAAACTAACTTCCTCATACACAATCCACAATCACAAAGCTATAATATTCATGCAATCTCAAAGCCTGTTTGTCTTTATCGAATACAAATACAACAAGCTTTCTATTCTTAAGAGTTGGCAGGAACAAAGAAAGTGCTGCAGCTCAGTGAGTCCCCTTTGTTGCAGTTTCACTTAGTCACTGACATCAGCTTTTAAAAGTGATCTGTCTGCATGCTGTGAAAAAGAATAACCCATTTTCCAGCAGAGAGCTTTTCACACTGTTTTACAAAGAACACATCCAAAGAAATCCATTTAGTCACTGTCTGTTTTATCTTCTTGCCTCATTTGAATCTCTCTTGACTTCCCGTGCCTTTTGTTTTGCACAGGGTTATTCACCTCTCTGTGCCAGTTCCATAAACACTTCTCTTTACTTCATCAGACATAAACATGTGAAGAAATGTTAACTTCACACTGAGAAGAAATCAAAAAGCCAAGCTAAGATGGCTGACCGTCCGCGGGAGGTGTGCACGAGGAGCGTGACCAGGGTGGAGGTGGCGGGACACACACAGTTGAGGGCCAGCATGGCGTACTTGAACTCCTCCTCACACACAACATGATCTGAAAAAAGGCAAAGACGTAGAAGTTACTTAGCACAACATTTTCCCTGTTTCCAGTCTTTATGTTAAAATTAGCTAATGAGCTTTCAGCTCTTGCCTCATCTTTAATCATGCTGTTTTTGACCACTTAGTGACGTTTGGGGATTATACATTTGGCAAACTGTAACTGTTGTTGGTAACATACTTTATCTGGTTTTTCCCGGTTTATTTTAACAATGTGATTGCACCAATCTTTCCATATTGTTGCATATCTGCTGTAAGCTAGCTATCTAACATTTATGAAAACAGACTAACTCTGCCAACTGTGACAGAGACAGTTTGCGTTGAGTTTAGAGCTTCTTGCATTCTTCAAGTTGGTGAGGAAGATTGTTCATTTGCATGTGTTTTTATATTTGCATTGTTTCTGGAGTGCAGCGTGTTTCTCCTAATGTAATTGTTTTGCTGATGTAGCACTGGTCGCCCACCGTACATATACTGTGTAGGCTTAGAGTAGTATAATTTTCATATCTCAGCTCTTCTAGAAAACGTTTAAACATCAAACTGATAGTAAAGTAACTTTTACCTGCAAATTTCACATGAAACTTATTTTCAGGTTTGAGTATCTGAACATAAAGGGGGCAATTGGGAGCAAAGTCCTTCACAGCCCAGGCTCTCAGGATGGTCTGATGGTCCTGAGGGAAAACAGTCAAAGATAATGCATTATTAAAGTAATCTCCTCTAATTAATTGCTAACTGTCCTGATGACTGACAGCATTAATGACTTGGTAATTGTAAACAAATGAACGACAACTCTTCTTACCGCTGCCATGCGATCCACCTCGTTACGACTGCTCAGAATAAAACAGGCCTCAGCGTCATCCATTCTGCAGAAACAGTAAAGTCAAATTCAGCCATGACCTTGAACCAAACAGAAGAGACAACAGAGATATCCTTTGATTTAATATTGAATGTAACGTATAGACGAACACACAAAGAGCAGCCTGATATGCTCTGCCCTGTATATTTTGGTCTGTAAACGTGGAGCTGTTTTTGCATATGATTATGACAGACAGGAGAATGAAAAACAAGAGTGGGAGGATTGAAACGGTGCCAGATGCAGGATGTGAGTGCGACACAGACCCTGTCCTCCACTTCTAATTGCTCTATCACAAACCTGCCAAATGTTTACAGTGAAGTTATATAACCAATTTCAGTGAAATTAATGTTTGGTGTATGGTGCTCCACAGATGATTGTACCACTGTTGTACAAGACTTAAATGCCATTTTCCAATGCAATTGTATCTTTCCTTGTTGTTTCAGTCAGAGATGGAGTACTCGAGTCCTGGACTCGGACCCGATTTTCGGGACTCGCGACTCGACTCGTGAATTCTCGCGCACGATGACTTGGACTCGGACTCGTGAATTTTTCCCTGGAGTCTGATGTCCTCTATCCTGGCGTGTGCACCGGCTGCGAGGCGAGTTCACGTACTGGGCCCCGCTATTCCAGTCTAAAGATGTCTAGAGACACCCCCCGCATTGTGCTGTATGCTTTCACACATTCTGCTTCCACATTGGAAAAGAGCAGCGCAAAATGCTCGTTATGTGAAAAACAGATTGAAGAGAAGGCTCCGTAACACATTACTCTAAGGATTGAGTTCAGACATATAGGCTGTCTTGAACACTATCATCAGAGTAATGTGATCTAATAAATAAATAAAGATTCAGCCGATAACACGAAAGCACATGGCTACTTAACATGCAGAATGACGTCATTTTGCATGCTAAGTAGCCATGTGCTTTCTGGGGCTTAATTTTTATTGATAGAATTTCAACATTCACTATAATATTTGTAGCGTCCCCGGCTGAATGATGGTCAGACTCTCTAACCGATGGTATCTGTTTATTGCACACCCTTGCTTGTATACAATCATTACCAACGTAAGCGCTTGTGCCCTTATCAGCCAGGTGCTAAAAACCGAATGCAACTATTTAGTATATGTTCATTTATTCGTCATCTATCCGTCATTATCGGTCATTATCATAGACTGTATATATAAATGGACGTAGTGTCCGTGACGTCACCCATAGGATTCTGCAGAGTTGCCGAGAAGCCCTTAGTAGGCGGAGTCGGCCACTAATGTCTCGGCCCGTGAACACAGCGGCTTTGGAAGCTTCTTCCAACGCTTCTGCCCATTCACTTTGAATGGGGTGACGTCACTTTTCGCCGAACTGCATTGTGGGAAGCAGAGCGGAGCTTTCCTGGCGTTTCAGGCAGCAAAAGTTGAGCAATGTTCAACTTTTGAAGCTTCTGAAGCTTTCGGTGGAAGCGTCAGCCAATCGAATCATATGCCAGTACAAGCTCTAGCCAATCAAACCGCTGCTTGTGTGTCAGGGGCGGGAGATTCATGTGATTGGTTGTTGGTCGAGCTTCAGACACGCCCGCCGGCAAGCTTTTTCCAAAGCCGCTGTGTGGACGGGCCGTAACTCCCGCTTGCTCCAGCCTGATCCAAATAAGGGCAAAGAGGCAGAGCCGAGGCGGGACCTGCTGCCACCGAGCTGGAAGTAACAGAGCTAGCTCAAGCTAAGAAGCTAAGCTAACATGAAATACATGCATACTGCGTGGCACTTTGGTTTTGATAAAACAGTGTAGTTCCACTATATAAACGTTACATTCATAATCAAACGAGACAATCTGCAAGAGAATTAGCTATGTTTTGTTATTCTTAATGCTTGTCATTCACACGTTAATAAAATAAAATAAGTACCGATACATAGCAGAACAATTGTGGCAATGTTCAGCTTAATAAGCCTTGTTCAACATAATTTATTTAGCTAATACTACAGCGGGCTGCAGGCGAACCAAGTCCGCGTTTCGCTGCATTCCTTGATCTCCAGTTATAACGCCGGACTCCACCGCCGGGACGCTAACGGAGCCGCAGGGGGCTAGCTCCGGCCGCCGGGACGCCGGCTGGAGCTAGCCCCCTGCGGCTCCGTTAGCTCCGGCAGCCACCACTGGGATAATTGGGTCCCCTTTTAACATTTGCTCCCGTTTAGCATCATGGGTGTCATAGCCATAGACTATAAAAGTCTTACCCAAGGCTGAATCATAAACTAAACTGTATATGTATATATGTATAAAGGGTTACGTCCTTAGCTGGCTAATAAGCTATATAACAAGCTAAGCTAACAAGCACACAAACACCTGCTAACGGGGTTAACATGTATAATATTATAATTTTAGACTTCTTGGAAGTTCTGTTAGTACATTCAACCGCACAGCACGACATTTTAATTGTCTGGTATTTGTAACAACATTCGCTAAAAGGCACATCACCACGAACACGGCTAAAGGGTCAAGTACAGTAACTACAACTAGCTAACGTTGTAGCCTAACAGAGTGGACAAGTTGCTGTTAGCTGACAGTGAGGCACGTGACCACGCCCTAATTTATGCAAAAACTTTAAGACCTAATATAAATAAAAGGGTCGCGTTATTCACTCAACAATTAATAATCATTAAGGTGGAATCTAACTATATCCCGAATAATTTTTATTGCATCCAGGGGTAGAAACATGTTTATTTCTGCTGTAAAGTTGGGCATTTTAACATGGGGGTCTATGGAAATTCATACTTTCTGCAGTCATCGCCGATCGGCCAATAGATGAACTGCAGTTTGTGGCACTTCCTTATTGGCCTCCCGGCTCTGGCCCAGAGTTTCCCGCTTGGTCATTATCAGTGTTGGGTGTAACGCGTTACCAAAGTAACGGAGTTACAGTAATATATTACTTTTTGCTGTAACGAAGTAATGTAACGCATTACTAATGAAATATGGGTAATATATTACCCGTTACAATTCTCAGTAACGCAGTTACAACACATATTAACCCGAAATGATATGGTGTTTTGTTTTTTAAGAATGTACCAGCATCGCGAGACATTCCGACACCAGAGAAAAATTGTGCGGGTAGATTAGTAAACCTGGTGTTTACCCTTCAGGCTTCGTGTCGGGATTGCATAGGCATGCATTGCACCCCCAGTTGAATGTTATGCACCCTCTATTCAAAAAAGAGAACGGAGCGAAAAATACAAACAACAAATTGTGTCAGGTGCGCGTGACCTGCTCCGCTGCGCGTGCATCATTTCCATAGTGCTAACACATCTGTGGATAATCATGTATACGAAAATGGTTCGCAACCATAACTAAACGCCAGCAACACTGCATCTACTGCAGACAATAGCAACAGGTCAGATGGGGACATCACGTTACCCTCTGTTGTGGACACTAGCTTACTCCCGCCTGACTCGCTGCCCTCGCCCTCGGAGCAGCAGTTTTCGTCGCCCGAAACTACGCCGCCCCTCTGCGGCCCGCTGGTGCCAGGATACCACGGCAAAACAGAGCCTGCCCAGGTATATCTAAACAAGTACCCGCCTGCACAGTGGGGTAAGGCGGTCATTTTGCAGCTCGTGGTATAAAAATAGACAATGGCTAGAATATTCATGTAAAAATAGTGCCATATTCTGCCATGCCTGTAGAAATGTTGGGTCAAAAAGAATGCATATATAATAGCACAGATGCCTTCACCACGAATGGCTACAAAAATATCTCATATCCCAAGCTTATCAACAAGCTAATGTTGCAGCTGAAATGTTCTCCAGGTCACAAAGTCAACCTCACATGATGATGTGATACCAGTTTTCAAGCATAGTAAATATTCTCTTCCCAGAGTATATGATGGGACCAAGGTGATGATGTAGTACATGGTTTTAATAATACTTTTGCATTTCAATGTTTGCCATTTCAAACCATGAGCTTGTTCAAATAATATTTGCCTTGATTTACAATATGTTCTAGTACAGTTTTGAAGCTTTTGTGCTTTTCTTTGCCATAGTCCACTTTGGACTATATTAAATATTTCAGGATTGCACTTTTAACACACTTGAAATGTTCTCACTTGCTTGGTTTCAAAACATAACAAATGCCATAATATGTTCATTGGGGACCATAACATCAATGATATTTTTCATTGCTGTTGCCGACCACTATTGCTCATGTAAACCTACTACTGCTGCGCCCCCTGCAATCTCAGATGCACCCCAAGTCATTTTGTTTTGGAACCGGGCCTGTACATGGCCATATACTAAACAAAATACAGAGCCCATTCCGTGTTCCTGTTATTGTTTACTTCCTCTCTGCCTTCTTCTGGTGATTTATCTGACGTCTTTTAACCTCTTTTCCTTTCTCTTTCTTGATCCTCCTTAGCAACCTTCACTATAGTCAGGGGTGCACATATCTTTTTTGCCCAGGTTCTCAAAGGAGCACCTGGAGATGTTGCTTGGTGCGCATCCTTAAAATGAAAAAAAACGGACCTTTTGAGCGGTACTTGACTTTATGAACGCGGGGGTGGGGGGAGGTGCACTAGTGAGCATGCTAGTGAGCATGCTAGTGAGCATGCTAGCTAGTGGCGAACCGTCAGGGCCTTCAAGGTATTCAGAGAATACCCTGGAACACTCAGATAAAACAAACAAAAAATCGATTTAATTATATAAATAAAATGTAATAAAATGTAATAAAATGTATATAAAATGAATAAATGAGAATCGTATCTGTGTTGTTGATCTGTAATATTACAGTGTTACGTTGATTTGTTGGTCCTTCTCGGACCATGCACTACGCATTTCAGTGGTTTTGTGTTAGAAAAGAAAGCAACCAATCAGATCTTGTTCTGGGTCTCTGGGTAGAATATCCTTCAACCAAGGTATTCTATATCCTTGATAGAATGCCCTGGCCGTTGCACTGAATGAGCGTACATTTGGACTGAAAGTTTGATCAACCAATCATATATTGATTTGTAGCCAATGGGCGTATTCTTTCAGAGTTTCCCTC